TCAATCGGTTCCATATTTTAGGAACCGGAACCGGAACCACTCATATCGGTTCCGGTTCTGGAACCGGCGGTTCCAAGACAATTCCAGTTCTATAGCCGGATACCCGGTTCCGCTGCTCACCCCTAATTATGCCAGGACTCTTCTAATACTTGAAGGTATTACAGTAAATTTAATCAAAATAAAAATGGAACTTTTTTTTAAATCACGTGCAACCGTCCTTCCCTTTTTGAAAAATTATTATTGACTCATTCTATTCCTAGTCGGCTTTTATTTTGTTCACATGCATAAATCCAAATTCCAAAAAGTTTGAAAACATGGATATTTATCTTTATCTCATCATCAGCTGGTATTTATATCAGGGACGGATTCATAATTTTTTTCAAATGGTGGTATCATTTGACTATAAGAAAAATTGATAGAGAAAAAAATTTCAAATGGTGGCACCGTTTGACTATAAAAAACAAATATATGGAAAAAAAAAATTCAATCGGTGACACCATTTGACTAAGAAAATGACACTAACACGATTCGAACTTGAGTCTGGAGGGGAATAAAATCCTTGCAAACCAACTATATCAAATGAAACTTGTCTTCATCGTAGTTTCAAAATACATATGGTGACACACAACAGATTAATACGGTTACATCTTTCATGAACCTAAAAGAATTTACACTTCGACGGGGGAATAATAAGGTGGCGTGTGCCACCGTAACCACCAAAGTAGGTATGTCCCTGATTCACACGCATCATCTACCTTCGTTTTACCTATTTGTATCACAATGATTGATCGAAACTTTAACAAATTTATGCATGTGAAGGTGAAAATTAATGTATCCGTTTTCTTGTGAACCATTATATAAAGGTACAAGAAGGTTTGTGGCTTCCAGCCTAGTGATAAAGGCTTGGGCATGGCATAGTCATGAACCCGAGTTCGACCCCTGGGAGGGGAGTGTTGGCGACATTTAAGTGGGGTCATGTTTAGCCTCCAAATTTGTCGGGGATTAGTCGGGCTTTGGCCCGGACACCCTTACAAAAAAAAATAACAATAATAAAAAATTGTCAAAAGACTCGTAAATGTTCACACTAGAACATATGTTTCACATGGTCCCAACTCTAATATATATCAATTTTAGTTAATTAGAGCATTTTCAACAGCTATGTTATAATTTTTCTATAATAGAGTATGAAAAGACAAAGTCTCTAGAAAAAAGTTATATACAACTCCAACAGCTACTCTATTTTAGTAATTATAGCATTAATTATATTAATAAAATATTCAATATATTTAATAAAATATTATTTTCTCTTTCTTCTGTAGAGTTTTAGAGATTTCTTTGAATTTAAAGATTTTCACAATCTTTCTCCTCTTTTTTCTATTTTAGCATAGAAAATAGCATAGTTGTTGGAGTAACAAAAATGCTAAAATACCTTTTTTCTCTATTTTAATGTAGCTGTTAGAGATGTTATTTACATCAATTATAGTTTTATAGATAAAATTTTCTGTCAACTTCAATCTGTTGTCCCAAATTCATCATTCCAACTGGTTGTTAATTTGATTTAAAGGTTGTTTGGCAGTTGTTGAATGGTTTGGTTCAGAATGATTAATAGGCTTTCATGATATAGTGCAAAATGAAATATAATTGTTTGATAATTGTTTACAATGAAATCAATGTGTTTAATGGTTAAGGGAGGCTCAGAATACAAACTCATTCAGAGAGTTTTAGAACCATTAAAAGACAGATTTTTTTTTGTCAAACAAGATTCACCTTTTAATGATTCAGATGTTATATTTTAATGGAACTATTAAAAGGTTAAAAAAATAACCCCTTAATCAAAAATAGAGTAAATTACATGATTGGTCCCTATGGTTTGTAGAAAATTTACAATGTGCATCCATAAATCAAAATAATTATAGAAAACGTCCCTATGGTTTACATTTTTACAACCTTTGGTCCCTATACCCTAACATCGTTATAATGATTTGTTAAGTAGGTTAACTTAAGAAGAGGTCTCTGGCAAGAAGCTTGGCTAGAGATTTCTTGTAAAAACACTAGCACTACTCAGTTCATAAAGTGAAAAACATAAGGGAAGGAGATGGAAGCTATTTGTCGAAAATGGTGACTTGAGGGTTGTCGGAGAGATGAGGAAGAAGGCTCGATGTAATTTGTATAAATATAAAACGGAATGTGGTTTACAAGTGGCGACTCTTAATCGGTGTATGAAACTGTTCTTTATATTTTTTTTAATAGAAATAAGAAAATATAGTAAAATGACTAAAATACCCTCTAGTTAACCTATTTAACAGAAGAAATTTAACAGAGTTGGGGTAAAGAGACCAAAAACGTTTGAAAATGTAAACCACATATATGTTTTCTATAATTATTTTAAATCAGGGACGCACAGTACGGTTTTATGCAAACCACAGGGACCAATCATGTAATTTTTACTTTTAAAAATAATATAACTACAATATTTATCATGTGTCATAGATCATGTATTTAAATAAAAAATAATTAGTATTTCTGCATTAAATAATAATAATAATTATTATTATTATTATTATGTCGTAGATCATGATGTTTTGTGTTATCAAGTACGAAGTATCATGTACGTCTATTTCTTGACCAAGACTACGATATAAGTTGGCCTTTCAGTATTTCTAAACCAAAAAGACAGTTAAGCCGGGCCCGCATCGAGACCATGAATTCAACTGCAGTTTAAGATAACAGACAGTATTTAAAAAAAATATGGCTTTATCATTCTGGTAATTTGGTCTAATTGACGAATTTGACCATCTCCAACAGCTACGTTAAAATATAAATTTTGGAGATTTTGGGTATATTTTTACTTTAGCGGGTATGTTATAACGTATGTTAAAATAGAGAAAAAAAAGAGGGTAGAATTCTTTAAATTTGGAGAAATATCTAAAAACTTCATATTTAAAAAAGAGAAATAATATTTAATTCTTTTTCGTCAATATGAGATGTTGAAATTAAGTGTTTAAAAGAGAGAAATAATATTTATTTAATATATTAAATATTTTAATAATATATATTTAAGATGAGAACCAAAAAAATGGATCTGGACCCTTGATCACTTTTAGTCTAAGGATAGAAATACTAAAATAGCATAGTTGTTGGAGATGCTATTATTAATAGTCTTTTTTATTTTATATATGTTTTAGTTTGATGGGGCATTTTATTTAGGGTAAATTGCATGAAAAAATAATGTACTTTAACTTGATTCTTAGTTTGGGTAACGTACTTTAAAAACTTCTATTTTGGTACATAAGATGTAAAGTTTTAAACATTTAAGTACACGGGTAACTGATTGAAGCGTTAACCGGTTATCATACTGATGTGGCGAGTGTTGTGATATCCAACTCAGTATTATTTGCTAACGTGGTTAGTGACATGGATTTTTTTAATCTAAAGTTAGTCTTCAACCGGTTAACCGGGTACTTAAATGTTTAAAACATTACATCTTAGGTATTAAAATGAAAGTTTTGAAAGTATGTTGACCCAAAATACGAATCAAGTTAAAATACGTTATTTTTTCATGCAATTTATCCTAAATGAAATAATGAGTCCAAAACTAGAAGTTAAGATTTACTCAAATGACCATATTTCTGATCTAGTCTTGAAATTTTGGCATATGTACGATGTGATATTTTTCATGTCGATCCAAAGGTGCAACGGTGCAGATTACGACTTATTTTTTGTCATTCTAGACTAGATAGCGACTGAATACTGTTAGGAAATGTATAACATATTAATTTATCTGATGAAAATTGTAATATAATAGTTTGGTAATCTTGATATCCTGATTGTTAATTGGTCTATTTGCAGCACACGCTGATATTTTTGTTTGAAATATAAAATATAAAAATTATACATCTTGATGAATTAGTAAAAAGTCAACTGAAAATCGACCTGAATAAGTTATCTTTATTCGGTTAATTGACCCGTTTAAGTCGAAAAGGAAAACCCAAAACCGTTTTCATCCGGATGAATTATTTGGTTTTGAAATTTTTTTCTACACCCCTAAGTGTGCTCCCAACTATAAAAGTTTCTGGACCCGCCATTGACTGTTAAATCATAAATTTTAAATAATTTTAGTTGTGTAGATTATATTACTGACGATCAGTAGAAGAATTGAATAAGTGCTTACTAATGGGGTCGTTTACCAAATGCTTATTGGGTAAGCGTTAACCAGTAAGAACCATCATCCTTACTCACGTTATCGTGTAACATTCCCGACCATCAAAATCGATTGTTTGGATTAACTTATTCCGGTGTGGTCCCGTTAATAAGTAGTTTTTAGTGTTTAGATGGAGAAAAAAAAAAGGAAATACTTGTACCGTTTGGTACCGGTAATAAGTAGTTTTTGATAAGAAGTTTTTAGTGTTTGGATGAGAAAAAGAGTGTATCTCATCTATGTTATCAGCTTATCTGATGTGGTACCGTCATAAGTTAATTCAAACACTTTTTATAGAACTCCGTTTTACCATCATATAAGTTGATAAACACTTTTAAAAAAACATGTTTTAAGTAAGCAATCCCGAACAATCCCCTTAATAAACGGCCAATAACATGAATCTATTCGAATATTAAATTTGTTAATAATCAATATTTGAATATTTAAATTATGATGTTGGTTTGGGTTGGGTTCACATGAGACCAACATGTTTTCATGAGACCTATGAGACCATTTTTTTACACTTAAAACTTCACAGCAAAACGCTGTAAAAATAAAAAAAACCAAACCTTCCTAGCAAAAACATTGTGAAGGTTACCTTCACAGCGCAAATACGATGACGTTAAATTTGAACTAATAGTTGATTACTAGCAACCATAACCGTCGCCGTACGACACCAGATATTTTTTTAGCTCAATCAACGTTAGAGGCTAACAGGGGGCGGGATCGAGCCCGAAACCTGTCTTGTACTTGGGCAAACTCTTCCTGCCCCTTTGTCAACTGAGCTACATGCCAAACGTACGATGACGATAAAATTGTATTACACATTCATTGATAATCGAAGTTTTACAAGAACTCAACAAAACGGCGAAGTTTTCACCTTCGTGTACCAGATGCAAACCAAGTCATGATACAACAACAAAAAAGAAAAACCGAAATCTTTGCCTTCTTCTTCCACTATACGCTCGCTACCTTAGAAATCTGCATTCGGCAAAATATACTACTTTTAGCCGATCACTATCATAAAAACATACGATTTGAAGACCATTTAACGATTTACAGTATTTCGATCATTTTTTAATTATATAATATTTGTATACTGCAGGTACCCAGACACACTTCTTACCTTTGGTGAGTGTTGAACCTTTGACCTCTAAGGAGGTGGGCCCCATTAACCAGATACTGCTAGGCCAATAACCCAGATACTGTAGGGCCAATACCCTTTTGATGAGTATTTTGATTTGTCATTTCGTTAGGGCGTGTTTGGTATCTAGACAGGATAGGCTAAAATAGAACAGAACATATAAACAGTTGTTCAACGTTTGGTAAGACAAAACTGGACAGTACAAAACAAATATATTTTGATTAATTTATGCAATTTATTAATTTATAATAAAATAAATATTTTTTATAACAAAATATATCAATAGAAATTTTCGCCAAATGATTAAGGGGCTGTTTGACAGTTGTTGAATGATTTGGTGCAGAATGATTAAAAGACTCTTATGATATAGCGAAAAATGAAATATAATTGTTTGATAATTGTTTACAATGAAATTTGGGCGCTTAATGGTTAAGGGAGACTCAGGATACAAAACCATTCAGAGAGTTCTAAAATCATTAAGAGACAAACTTTTTTTTGCCAAACAATATTCATCTCTTCATGATTCAGAGTCTGCCTCTTAATGGAACTATTAAGTGATAAACAAACAACCCCTAAAATGTACCAAAATAAAAAGTTTTAGTTACCGATTTTTATTTTATACCCTTTCTATATTATTTTTTATTACTAATATTTAATAAATTACATAAATTAATCAAAATATGAAACCGTATAAAAATAATATTTTAAGGTCAGTAAAGTGAAAGCTTGATGTTTTAGAAACGAGTTAGGTTTTAAAATGAATAAAATGTAAACAAGAAAACGTATTTGATGTTTTAGAACAGAATTAGGTTATATTGGTAAAATATAGCTTTATCCCACCTTGTTCGTTAAGGTGGGGGTGGAATGGACCTGTTTCACTTTGTTCCTGTCTGTTCCACATAAAAGTCCTACCAAACATGGAACAGTGATCTCTGTTCTATTCTATCCTTTCCGGTGTACCAAACGCACCCTTATAGGTCGATACCGCATGTGGACACTATTTATCGTATGGAATGATATACGTACCATGGGATCATTACAATGTTGCAAGAGGGGAGCCCGCTTCGGTGAAATAAGATGCGAGATCTATAGCGAGGTCGTCAAACATATTGATGAAAGGATGCGACTGGATAATAAGAAAGAAAAGTGAGCGTTTTTTAGTTGGTGTCGAATCCCGAATAGTTTTATGAATTTTAGAGCAAAGATCGACAAATGTACCATGAGTTCATTTGCCGATGATCTATCCTTTGGTTCTTTCTGAAGACTAAAATAACAATGAATTGTATCGTTAGGTGACGTATATGTGAAAAGCAGAATAAAGCAAACCAAATAAACTCAGTATATCCGCTCGAAAGTAGGATTTTGGGTTCAAATGTAAGCAGTCATGTTATCTACCGAAAGGGTAGAACGTGAAAGAAAAAAGAGTAAATTACGTTTTTCGTCCCCGTGGTTTGTTAAAAATTGCAATTTTCGTCCCTATGGTTTGTAACTTTTTGCTATTTTCATCCTTATGATTTACAATTTATTGTTACTCGGTCGATGTGGTTTACAATTCTTTACTGTTATGGTCCCTTGTATTTAGAGGTAGGAAATTAGTCCAGGGACGAAAATAGCAATGAATTGTAAATCATAGGGATTAAAATCGCTATTTCTAAATCACAGGGACGAAAATGAATGTTATTAACAAACCACAAGGACGAAAATCATAATTTACTCAAGAAAAAAAAATATTACTTGTAGCCGTAAGTAGAACATGGCCCGTGGCCCAGCATTTTTGCTCGGCTACAGGCCAAGATTTGGCTCTACCGGCCCAGGCCCATATATTGGCCCTTCTAAGAGGCTTTGGCCCGTGCCAGCCCAACCCACACGGGCCTCCTAAGAGGCTTCTCTAAGCCCAGCTCGGAAAATGGCAGAGCATGGGTTAACCGTTAACCCTCCATTGCTTCCGAGCCCGACCCGGCTTATCCCATTGTTTTCTCGGCCAGAAGTTGTAATGAACTTAAAAACGCAACTTATTAACAGGACGAGCCCAGGTTATATACTTAAATTATAATTTACCATGCATCAATAAACGAGCAGAATTGAGGAGAGAATTGATCGGAAGGCGGCCGAGGTGGTTGTTGACCAACGATGGTTTCCATAAGCTCGTAAACGTTGACCCATCCACCGGGTTGTGGTGGAGAATACGGAAATTGGCCCGTGGCACACTCCAACAAAACTAAACCCAAGCTCCATATATCGCTTTTATAACCGTGGTTGCCGGCAAGTATTCTTTCGGGCTGAAAGCATACGAAATGAAACCATGTATAATCAACTTCGGTACGTGCTAAAAGAAACTTGAATAAAACTTCCGAAATGAAAAACCCGAGAGGTTTTAGCAATTTGTTGTTAAGATCCATAAATTATCTGTTAGAGTCCCATTTCTTCTCGATATATGTTGAAACATCCCTTCTATTCTAAAGGGTACTTTTGAAGAATAATCTAATGGAGTCCCCACATATTCTAACATGGTATCAGAGCAGAGATCTACCGTCTAGCCTCAACTAAAGAGGGCGTGTTAAAATTCCACATCAGCTAGACTTGGACCATTTACGCTCAATATATGTTGACTTGCGCCTCAATCCGCCGGTAATTTAATTAATTAAGTCGGCCAAATTGAAGAAAAAAATTAGTGGCGGATTTCTGATGGACCGAATCTGCCGCTGATGGTCAATCTGCTAGAAGTTCCGCCAAAGAACATGTTTTCCGGCCGGAAAATCCGCCAGTAATCCTATTTTTTGGCGGATTATTCCACCGGTGAAAGCCCCATATTTAGTAGTGGTGGTTAAAGAGTACTTACAGACATATAATTATACGTGCCAACGAATGTATTAGCCAAGCCAGATGTGCTTGCAAGAATGGTGCTAACGCCAAAGTCCGTGATCTTGACTTCACCTCGATGGTTTATCAGCAAATTCGACGGTTTCAAGTCCCTGTGAATAATATGTTTCTCGTGATGAAGGTACCACAAACCCCTTAGCACCTGATTTTCGGTTTTTTAGAGATCACGAGAACATGTTCAGAATATATATTTACGTTTCTTGATAGCTAATAAATAACCCATAAAATAGAAACAAAAATTCCAGATCCCGAACCTGCTTACAGATGGCGGCAAGATACGGTTCAGGAATGAATCGAACGGTTTTCAGAAAATCGGCTAGAGACCCTCCATCCATGTACTCCAAGATTATAGATACAGCACCGTTATCGTAAAAAGATTGGTAACACACAACAACATTTGGACATTGTGACGATTGATTGATTTTAAGTTCTTGTGCAATCTGCTTGCGAGCTGACTCTTCTACGTTCATTTGAATCACCTAGATATCGAACAAAATGTTGAGAAAAGAGTTCTTTAAGTGCATTAACACGATATCAATAAGTTATTTTAGGAAATATTTATGGAACATCCTACTACAACAAAATCGGTTTTATAGGACCCCAAATTATGTCTAACGGGTTGCTTGGTTGGTTTTCCATTAAGTCCTGTATGGATAAAGCTGTCTGTGTGGATTAATCTGTCTGTATAGATTGGGAAGGCTTTTGTTTGAGAGGGTTTTTTCATAGATGAAATGAGCATGCTTGGAAAAAAACTTGGCTTTCTGCATTAAGCTCCCCCTAGAAGCTTACTGAATAAGCCAATTTTTATTCCAAAGTCACTACCAAACAGTCATGTCTAGCTGAACAAGTAAGCTGCAAGTCCCATTAAGCTCATTAAGCTGCTAACAAACAAAAACTAAAAGTCCTAATAAATTACTTTATGGGACTTAAGTTTATAGGATCAAACAATTGTTTGTACTATGTAAAGGGGTTACAAATTTACAATAAGTTGATAGGACACTTATGGGCGTCTTAACGAGTTTCTTGATGACTGTCATATTAGATTTTTTATGACACTTTTGAAAAGTGTCGTGAACACATCTTTTTATAACACACTTTTTTCAAATAATGTCATAAAAAAAACTAATAGAACGTTTTATTTCAAAAGTCATCTACAAAACTCGTTAAGACGCCCAAAAGCGTCCTATCAAGTTATTGTAACACCTTCATATAGGGCCGTAAATGTTTGATCCTATAAACTTAAGTCCTAAAAAGTAGTCTATTATAACATTTAGACATATTTGACGCCCTATAAAGCCGATTTTGTTGTAGAGTCCAAAATTGGAAACCATTGAGACTTTGACTTTCTTCAAGACGAAAAAAGATGAACATGGATGACACTACCTTTAAAGCAAAAAACTGGCCAGTCCACTTGTGTTGCACCAATCGAACGACTCCACCGTTTCCCTTTCCAACAACTTTAACCGCATCAAAATCAGCTAAGCTCAATTGGTTGTCTGAAGCCTGAATAAGTGGTGGCTGAACAAAACATTGCAATGCCGGTAAGAGAAGAAAAAACTACTGAAATACGAGTCTACTGATACAAAACCAAACAAACCCAGTATAGCCCACCAGAAGCTTTCAAATTCCACAACATTTTACCCTCTTACATCTAAGCAGATCCAAATGATCCTTGGATACATTAAGGGGGCGTTTGGTTTGACAGAATGTTTCTGAAAAGTTCGGATTTCGTGGAAGGATTTGGAATCTTTGGTTTGTAAGATTTGGAATGGAATTGAATTCCGTTCTTTATAGATAATCCATAAAAACAAATTATAAATAATTATTTTTTTTATTAATTGATTATTAAAAAACAATTGTTTTTAACATATTTTAAAACATTATTACAAACAAATCCTATGAAATTTGTTGAGTTATCAACTACCCTCATGGGAATTCTAAATTTAATGTTTGTGGGATTTTACTGAAAACCCGGGAATTCCAGACTTTCCTTTAAACCAAACGCGAGATTGAAATAGAATCCAGTTCCAAATCCCACCAAACCCCGAAAACCAAACGGGTTGCAATATTGTGCATTGTAGAATTTGGTTGAGCTCCTAAAGCATACCGTAGAAGCTGTACTTAACAATCGTCTCAAATCTCACGAAGTAATACAACCTTATCACAGAAAGAGCAACCTTAATGCACCTTGGCCACTAGAATTTGGGAGTATCGGGGAGTAAAGGTCTTTGCATGCAACATTTCCTTTCTACCTATAAAGAGACACTCAACAAAATAGGTGTTATAGGACGCCAAATATGTCTAAATGTCCTAATAGACTGCTTCATATAGATTGTTTTATAGGACTTAAGTTTATAAGACAAAACAATTGTGCTGCCAATTAAAGGTGTTAGAACATATTTGGGCTTCGTAACAAGTTTTTTAGAACATTCTAAAAATAAAAGTGGCATATTAGCTTTTTTACAGAACACTTTTGAAAAGTATGAACCCATCTTTTTATAGGACACTTGTTTTTATAATACACTTTTTCAAATGATGTCATATAAAAGAAACTAAAAAAGCGCTTTATTTCAAAATTATCATAAAAAGTTGTTATAACGCCCAAAAGCATCTTATCAACTTATTGCAACACCTTTACATACGAGACACAGTTGTTTGGTCCTATAAACTTAAATCCTATAAAACAGTCTATTAAGACATTTAAAGATGTTTGACATCCAATAGAACCGATTTTGCTGTAGTGTACCAAAGTCCAAACGCACCACTACTAACCTAATAACCAAAAGTCCAGAACCAAAAGAAACCAACCCAGTAAATCCCACTTGAAGCGTAGTGGTTGAGGTCCTGGGGGATATGGTGGAATATCTCATCTGCCCGGGATTCAATTCCTGGCGTACACAACACTTGTGGCCACTGAGTTTCTCAGGGCTGATTTCTTGCTATGATAATTTGCCGGGATTAGTATAGGCGTAGCCTAGGAGACCCTTCCAAAAAAAATCCCACTCAAAAGTAGGGTTTAGGAGGGTAAAATGTACATAGACATAACCTCTACCTCAAATAGTAGTGCAGTTGTTTCTCAGAAAACCAAACTAACCCAATAAATCCCACCTGAGAGTGAGAGTAGGGTCTAGGACAGACAAGATGTACATAAACCTGACCTCTACCTCAAAGAGTAGATCAGTAGTGTATTTTCCATAAAGACCCCAGCTTGTTCAAACATGTCAACAAACATATAGAAGGCACAAAAACTAGCAAAAAAGAAGGACCAACTTCATCATCAAGATAACAAACAACATTATGCATATCCATCACATTGGCCTTTCTATACCCACCATGATTCTAAATCAACCAATTACTACATAATCTTAACCATCAAATACCAACAAACTTTTTATCACAAACTAGTTAGTTAACCCTAAATTTGATACACAAACAAGAAACTTCAAAAGGGTGTTACCCAAAAGCAAATATAAAGCAACAAACACTCTAATCAGGAACATCCTTCCACACTCACTTCAATCTACTCATAAGAATCTCCCGATTTTGGGCAACATTCTATACCCTAAATCATCCTCAAACTAAACAGTAAACCCTTAACAGTAAAAAATATATATACATATATATATATATATATAACAGAAATTAGCAACTAGAGATCAAATGCAAAGAAACCCAGATCCATAAAACATTCAAACTTACAGTATCAGATTGGCTTTGGGAAACAATTCGAACACCATCTCTGTTCACTAGCAGATCACCATCCATAAACGTCCCAGATTTAGTTCTACAATTTGCATTCAAGATAACAAAAGGGAAGTAAGATGAGAGAAATCAAAACACACCCAGAAGACAAAACACAACCCAAAAACGAGATTCATACAAGAATTTGGCGAGAGATGTCTCATCGGAAGGAGGGAGATTAAGCTTAAGAAAAGGGGCCAAGTTTCCCTTCTTCATTATGATGAACAAAAAACCCCTTCAACAACCGTTCTGTTCTTCGAATTGGGTTCTCAATTTGAAGCTTATTTTGGTGAAAACCGAAAAGTCTTTGTGAAGTCGTCTTCCCCAGACGAAACCGAAAGGGGGTTTTCCAATTTCCACAAAGACACAATTAGGGAGTACTATTTTTAAATACTAATGGGAATGGTTTAATTTTAATTGGAGTGAAAAGTAAAGAACACATTTTCTATGGAGATTTGGATATGAATACAAAGAAACTGAATTGAATCGAATTGAATTTGGGTTGGTGGTTGATGACTGTAGAAGTTGGACACAGAGCACTTGCCCTACGACTTTCCTTTTCTTTAGCCTTTTTACATTTCTCTATTGTCACCCTTTTCTTACTTTTTTTTTAAATAAAAACCCCCTTATGTTCACGGAGGTTCAAATGCGATGACTCTGGGCTATTTATAAAGTAGGTGGTCGTCCTTGAATTAGTCAGTTCGCATAACGGGTTGAATATCCAGGTTAATAAAAAAAGGGTTTTTTTCTTCTTTTTTTATTGGAGTTTTTCTTGAAAACTATCGACTTAAGCGTACTGACTAATCTTTTGAATGATAATGAAGGGTCTATGAGACATTGTAGGTGAACATTCATGATCATAAAGATTTTAGCAGCATCTGGATTCGAACCCGAGAAAAGATGAGATTTCCACTACGTCTGCTGAACCTTAACCTGTATGCGACAATCCAAGTGTTTTTCATATTTGGATTTTCTTAGCATTGTCTTGGGTTCGTTTTGGGGATTTTGAGAAATAGTCGTGTGTCTTTTTTCTTGTTAGAGCATCTTCAATAGTTGTGTTAAAGTAGAGATTTTGAAGATTTGATGTTGGAGATGCTCTATTCTATTACACGCACAGTTCAGATCATTTGCGGGCCTGACCTGGGTCCTCGCCAAGCCTAACTTGTTTTTTTGTCAAACGGGCCTAATATTGTAAACTAAAGTCATTTTTTTCATGCTTAACAACTTGTCACTGCCTGTCTTATAAACGGGTCGGGCTTGCCCACAGGCTAACAGGCCTAAAAAGTGTGCAACTCTTATATATCTATAGATTTGATCACTAGCAATTAATTAACAAATGTGGAACCAAGAAGTGTAACTCTCATAAATCTATAAACTTGAAATGTCCAACTTGTAATCGGAAGTTTGGAACGAGCGAGGAGCAACAATGAATCATCGGGCAATTTATGAGATGAACAGGGGAGTAACAGGGTGGGAAGGGCAATCTAGGAACACAGAGCCTCTGAATGGTTTGGGGTAGCCTAAGATGAATAATCGCTCAGAGTCATATTGAACGATTCAGAGTTGAACCTCTAAATGAGATCATTAAGAAGTAAACAAACAACCCCGTAGCCTTTTGAGTTCTCAAGAATAACCAAAGAATCATATCATATAACTTTAATAATTTAATTCTAAAATATACTAATATAATTTTAATTATGGTAAAAAAAATATTAATTATAAAACATAAACGGACTGGACAGGCCTGTCTATATTTATTTTTACATTGCTCATGTTCACCCGTTAATTTTAACGAACAAACCCGGGCCGTTCATCTTCTCGATAATGGTTGTCCAAGCCCGTATTTCTAGCGGGTCGGATAGACCGGATCTGACGAATCGTCCCACCCATAAACAGCTCTAGCTCAGATATAGTCAGGAAAAGAAACATGAAAAAGGTTTATTTAATTTTCATATTGTCCCATTGCTTGTTTGACCATCTTGATGATGCCCATAGGGCTTGGAAGAGTCAAGTTGCAACATCCCAAAATATGAAAGTTGGGTTAAAACTTAGGGGTTATTCGACAGTTGTTGAATGGCTTGATATAGAATGATTAAGTTGTCAGAATGATTTATGATATAGTGCAAAGTGAATTATAATTGTTTGGTAATTGTTTACAATGAAATTAGGGCGTTAAATGGTTAAGGGATGTCCACTTGTCCATGATACAATATCATTCAGATGGTTTTAGAACCATTACAAGACAGATTTTTTTTTTGTCAAATAAGATTCACCTCTTAATGATTCAAAGACTGTCTCTTAATGGAACTATTAGAAGGTAAACAAACAACTCCTTAAAAGTGAAACTAATTAAAAATGACAATTATAACAAAGTGCAGGGTTTGAATGCATTTTTTGGTATATTAAGAGGTTAAAATAGTGAGGAACCTATTTTGCTAAGATGGGACATCTTTCATGATGGAATGGCTCCAAACTAGAGACAAAAATCAAGTGGCAAGACATGGTTATAATTTGTTTTACGAAATAAAATTGTAGTACATCAAAGTGATATCGTATGCAATAATTTACCTGATAAGCACTTATTCAGGTAAGAGACGTCACCTTCACTTACCGAGTAAGACTCTCCATCTTTATCATTACTCTTACCGGGTAAAATTTTTGATCCTTGTCATGTTCATCGTGTAAGAAAAATTATCCGATAAGCATTTACTGGATAAGTGTTTAGTAAACGGTCCCTAAGTTTAAATTCAAAGTCGATAATCACCATATTGTACAAGTTGGGTTGCAAGAAGAAGATGACGAATGTTTATTATCTCCCAAAATAAATAAATAAATAAATAAATAAATAAATAATAACATCTTTTGAGGGATTAATTTTGTTCAAAGAATGTTTATAAGCTTCTTATAAGTCTCAAATTATGAGCTACCATTAAATGGTTGTTTCTTTACCTTTTAATAGTTTCATTAAGAGGTAACATTTGAAACGTTAAGAGGTGAATCTTGTTTGACATAAAAAAATGTGCCTCTTGATGATTCTAAAACCCTCTAAATGATTTTGTATCATAGGCTTTCCTTAACCATTCAATACCTTAATTTCATTGTAAACAATTACCAAACAATTATAGTCTTTTAATCATTCTGACCACTTAATCATTCTACACTAAACCATTCAGCAACTGCCAAACAGCGCCTAACATTCATCATGGTTTTAAGTTGAATTCAGAGTTATTGAAGCAATCTCATGCTTTGAACTTGAGGCGTCACAAATGGTATCAGAGCTAGGAATCAGACTGGTGTATCGGCAAAGACGCTGGGCTGTAAGATCCTACATTCGTTTAGGAACGGAACTGATATTGCCTTATAAGAAACTGGATATCTCATTTATCAAACGTATTTTAAAACCACTGAATCTTAATTTAATAATAATAATAAATATTTTAAATGTGGTCATATATTGTGGGCTAACAAAGGAAGAATGAATTAGGTCATGTGTCAATGTAACATGGGGGTGCCTTTCAAGTCAATATTCCAACCCCTTTAATTTATTTATCATATTTGTTTATTATAAACAAATAAAAAAAACTTTTTTATAATAAAATTACGTGTTTTTATTTTAGTGGCGTTTGTTTTTTAAGAGGTGCTAAGGTCTGAAGTCTGATTTCACTTCTGATTTATAATTAAATTATACGTTTATAATTATTTTCTATTTTATATTATGTTAATTATCATATGCGTTTTAAAAAAAAAATTCTATATCTGTTTTTGTTAACATGATAAAACAAAATAAAAATCGATTCTTGTGCAGAGTTCGTATTGAGAGCGGAAACAAGAACCAAGAGTCGGTTTCCATTTCATTCTCTTGATTCTTCAAATCGATGAACATAAATGGGAGAAAACTGTAGAGATGGAGAGAAAACGATTCCGTTTCCATCTGTTAATTTAAAAAAAAAACATGTAAAAACGACAAAAAAACTGTCACATATAAATATTTGAAGTCACAGACGAATCACATTCAACCTTGAAATTTTTCAGGTTAATTTCAAATGAATTCAGTATTGTAACGTCTGTTTCTTTATAATTTATTTTCAATAATATAATCAGTTTTATTATGAGTGATTCCAATCTAACAAACATCTCTTAGGTCCTGTTTGTTTTACAGAAATGGAATGGATTTTGAGGGATTTGGATTTCAAATCCATTCCAATCTCATGTTTGGTTTGTTGCATTGTTCGGATTTGAAATACTGGGATTTAATTGAAATCCTATAAACATAAGATTTTGAATTTCTTAGGCGGTGCTCGGGATTTCATGGGATTTCATATGATTATAATGAGAGTTTTTAATAGATGAAATGAGTACGTTTTAATTAAAAGAGACATGTTTTGAAGAAAAAAAAGCTTGACTTTTTGAATAAGTCACTTTCTATATCATTAAGTCACTACCAAACAAGTCATTTATAGCTGACCGAAGCAGTAAATCCCATTAAACTCGTCAAGCGTCTAACAAACAAACCCTGATATGCATACTATTTTGAAAATTTTATTTATATTTATTAATGAAAATTGCAATACTTTTTTTTATTAAATTTATTTTTGAGTATATTACAGATTTCATCCCTATGGTTATATGTTTTGGTGATGTTTTTCACAGAGACAATCTTTGTATTAAAATATCGTATATTTTGTAATAATAATATTTTATTATATAATATTAATTTATTTTTTATTTTAAAAGAAAAATGAAAACCGAGTAAATGACCAAAATTTCCTTCATTTAACGACTTTAAAATAAACAGGACCGGTTGAGGGACCAAATCTGCAACAATATTGAAACTATAATGATGATATCGGTAATTAATTTTCTTGGGGGACCTGATCCATAACTTTGATATAACCACAGGGACCAAATTTGTAATTTACTCTTCATTTTTCTTTTAGAGTCTCGGAAGTGTTTTTAAGTAGTTCCTTTTTTTTTGTTCATTTTGGTGTAACCGACAATCATCGAGAGAGAGAGAGAGAGAGTCAATTGAGCTCTGCTGTTCTTGGAGTTGATTAATTCTGAGAATTTTAAACCCTAATTTTGGTTCTTGATTCTTGTTGCTCGTCAATCCATATTCTGTTTTTCGCAATTTTTAATTCCATCGCCGAACACAATCTGTCTTCATCTGATTATCGAACTGATTTTGCTCCTAGTTTCTGATCCGGAAACAATCACGAATCAAAAGCGGTAAGTTTTGTTTGTTTTTCTGTTGATTCACGCTAAGAAATGTGGTTTCTTTTTTTCACTTTTGCTATGTGTGTATATATGATTTTTGGTTATAATCGTTTCGTTGATCTGGCTCAAAATGTTTCTGATCATCGTTTTGATTTTCTGTGATTTCTTGATAAAAAAGTTTTAATTATGTGAATTTTGAAGTTAGAACTAAAGGTTATTTTCAGAACTAAGTTAGGATCGACATTTGTGTTTAAGCCTTTTTTCAAAATATGAATTAACCAACAGTAAATAAATAAAAGAAAATTCAGGAATTATTTTAGGGTTTATGTACTCATCATCAATTACAGACCAAACTGTCAGGATTTAGTGGTGGTTTTTGTCTGAATTTAGGTGTCTTGTGATCCAAAACTTCGAGAACTGAAAAGATTTAAATGGAGATTTCGAATTGAAACACGATTTCTTTCGAATTTTATCAGATAATCTCTATGTTCAATTTGCAGTGATTTTAGGATAATAAACTGAATAATTGAAGCTGATTACCAAACATGCAATTTGAAACTGTGATATAAACATGCTTTATCTAAAACCCTTTGTATATGAACTGACTAGGAGTTTATCGTATTGGACTGAATTTTTATGCAGAACGTATAAAGCAGGTAGTTAAAGAAGTGGTGGCAGTAGCCGGGTAGCAGCCTACTGGACATTTCAACTTTAAACCATCGGAAATGGATCAGAGTAATTAACCTTCGCTTTTCCTTCTATCCCATCTGCATAGATAGCTTTATCTCTTAACTGGATAAGTCTCCGCAAAATTATGTGAAGTTTTCCGTTTTCGTTTACTTCAATTTCTTCTTTACAGAGTTTATGCTTTAGGGTGCTTCAAATATTTCTCTCTTTAAGGTTGTCTTTGTTATTGATTTGATATGGACTTGTCTACTTCTTCTGCGGTAGGGTAAGGCTAAGTAAACTTCTCTACACAGTTTAGAGTGTGTTAGGTAAGCGGACAGGACTGGACAGGCGAGAATGAGGTAAGCAGGTTAAAGAACTGTGGAAGGTTTTAGGATTTTAATTTAACATGGGTAGTTTAGTAATTTATCAATCTTGTTCAGTCTTCTTGATTTTTGTTTCACTCATTTTTGGTGGGACAAAATGTGCATTAAGTCTTGTCATGTCCCAATCTAATGCCACACCAAACATGAGACAACAAGTTCTTGTTATGTCCTGTCCCAAACGCACCGTAATCTCCTAGCATAACTTGATAGACTACATGCTTATGATATTTGAGTCCTATATGTGTGTGTGTATATATATATATATATATATATATATATATATATATATATATATATATATATATGAATGTGATGCTGGTCAAGTGAGATATGTTATTCAATTTTAGAAGTTGAATAACAAAAGGTTATGTGTTTAGAAGGTTTGATTGATGTATATAATAGTTTCTAAAGTTAGTGTCCCCTTGGTTTCATAAAACAACAAACCTTTTAGCCCAAACTAGTTGAGGTAGGAAAGATGAACCTTGATAGAAGTTATTAAGAGATGAATTGCAAAGAGGTGAACCCGGTCCATTCATACGACCAATTGGTTTTAATTTGAGATAGTAGCCGAAAGATTTTATATGAGAGTTATACCCAAAAGATCCTGGAGAGTTTACACTTCAGACAATTGGTTTTTAGATGGAACACCTGATCTAATACTAATGAATATAAATTGGGACTTTCTGGTTTCACAGATGCTGCTATGGAAGAGGGGAAGGTTTTGAAAAATGGGCTTGAATTGGTGAAATCTGTTTCGGATAAGCATCTTGATCTTTTGAGGCCATCATCTCGCTTATTTTCAATGTTTAAAGGTAGATATTATAAGAATTGCTGACAGTAGTTTATAATGTCAAACGTTATTAATCATAGAAGCGAATATGAACATATCTAGGGCCAAATTACTTATTATTTGTTACATTTCTTGTTCTAGGTGTATATTTTGCTTAGAGATTTATATTTGTTAGTTATCATAGAAGTTATGGGAGTGGTTATACTTATGTAGGAGACCATGTTGATGGCAGGGCATGCATACGATCGTGAGAAAGGCAAGTATGCGCTTATCAGGGATTCAGATGAAGGACTTTATGACAAACCCCTCCCTTGTTTTGGCTGTGGAATTGGATGGTTTTCGTAAGTACTGTTGATTCTCACCTTCCCTCTCCCTCCCCCCCAAAAATCTATCATGGCCGTTCCAATCTTTTTGGTGACTCTGTTATGTATGAGTAATAACTAAAACAAAGCATAAAATTCCATACCATATACTCCCTACTCCCTCCGTCCCAGAATAAGTGTCCACATTTCTATTTTAGTTTGTCCCTATTGTCCGGTGTCCATTTTTTCAATTCTATCCTTAATTATGAGATGGAGAAATTTATAATGTTTCTATTAGTATGGGTACAGTCGTCATTTAGTTAACTAAAAGGTGTGACATTTAGAGGGTGTTTGGTTAGAGATATTAAGCGGTAATCAATGGAATTGAATATAAAAGAAACTGTTTGGTTTTATATAATATAATTGGCTCATTCCCCCCAAAACCCAAATTCCCATTCCAGGTTAAACTAGGGGGAATGAAAATTTATTCCCATTTTCATTACTGTCATTTTCATTCCCCTGCCTGAAGCAAACAGCCCCTTATACATTTTTAAAACTGTGTTCCTTTTTCATCATGAACATTTATTTTGGGACGGAGGGAGTAGTTATATCAAGTGTCTTATAGGTTAAAACAACAAAAACATCGTATAATGACAAAGTAACATATAAAATTCACTTAAATAGAATCATTCTTCTAACATTCTTCAAAAGCGGAATCAAGAATCGCAAAATTGGCTAAAAGAGTAAAAGCCTAAATCATTTATAATTGGGTTAAAACGTGGATAATTGGTCCCCAATCATTTTAGGGGCTGCTTTCCGTATCTGACATCGAAGTACCCTCAGACACGGCCCAGTGGCTGATACTCTTGTGTGTTTCAGTTTCTTAATAGGGTTTGCATTCCCTTTGATGTGGTACTATGCTACATTCCTGTATTTTGGAAACTATTACCGGAGAGATCCTAGGGAACGTGCAGGTCTTGCTGCTTCTGCAATTGCTGTAAGCCCCTCTGTCTCTCTATATATAGGGTCAGGTTCTAGGGAAAACCGCAAAAAAATGAAAAACTAAGGAACACCCTGGTACCGTACATTTGGACAGTATGCACATGTACATATAAGTGACCTGCAAGCAATTTGTCGTGTATGCACATGTGCATAACATACACATGTACATAAAAACCAAGAAACAACTTCAAATACTTGTATGCACATGTGCATACCATGTAGATGAATGGTTAACATGGTGTTCCTCATTTTTCCTTTTTGGGGGGGTTTTCCCCTGAACCTCCCTCTATATATGTGTGCGTGTGTGCATGCATGTATATATATGTGTGTGTGCGTGTGTTTTGTGTGTGTGTGTGTGCATGTATATATATATGGTAGGAGGTTCAAAAAAGCAGGTTAAAATTTTGTGAGAAGGTAAGAAGAGGAGGTTCAATTGTGAATGATTGAAAAATTTCAATTGAAGATGCATATGTTAACCCATATGAATAATTTAAAACGTCCGTTTGCATATGCATCTTCAAATAGAAATTTTTTGGATTTTTTTCAATGTTTCACATATGAACCTTCACTTCTTACATCATCACGATATTTAGTCTTCCTATTTGAACCAACGCCTATATGTATGTAGGGTTGATTTCTGTGAGAATAGAAGTTATGCTAAGAAGGGTGTAAAGGGATCTCCACCCCTGGATCAATCCTATTTGAAGATCAACGCTAATGAGATGCACCAGATCAATTCCCGTGAAAAGTGCAATTCATGGGTGGGGGTGAGATTAAAAGTGATCAAAAGTCCAGATCCCTTCTTAAACTTCTCACCTTAACTCCTATTCTCACACGATCCTTCGTGTATGTATGTATGTGTGTGTGTGTGTGAATAAATGTTGGAATGTATGGTAAGGAAGATGAGATTGTGATGGAATGCAGGCGATGGGGTGTTCGATTATCTTGTTTATTGTAGCAATGATCCTACTGTTCTAATGGCTGATTTGAGATATTGAACTGGGACCGGAAGTGTTGCAGCAGCAGCAGCAGCAGCAGCAGCAGCTTCAGCTTCAGCTTTAGCATGTAGATACACAAATGCAAGTCTTGATGAACATGAAATAGTTTAAAAATTTTGTGTTATTTGACACACATCTTGTATACCGCAATCACATCGGATTGTACAATCTTGAGAAAGAGTTCCGCATACTACTACTTTTTTGCAACTGGACTTGTACAAAAGTTGTCGTTACCGAAACCTCACCTCACATCACCTCTCGCACTTTTCAAGTGTTCGTTAGAGTTTTATCTTGTTACTATTTGTGTCTCCGTTTTGTGTGTTATCTTCAAAAGACAAGCTTTCGCTTTTAAGTGTGCATTTGGTGCTTGGACAATACTAGACATGGTTGGATAGGCGAGAGTGAAGTAGGTGGGTTAATTTGGCATGGATGGTTTAGTAGTTTAGCTATCTTGTTTTATCTTTTGGATTTTTGCGGACGTGTGAACATGCAAAACCCATTAAATTATTCTCCAAAAGAAGGCTTAAGAGGAGGTTTTAAAATACATGAAAGTGAAATGTCAAGTCTAGCAGATGGCCCAGAGTCACCGAATTTCTTTTTCTTTGGGTTCTAACCATGAAGAATGTCGTGAGACAAATTTCCAAACCAGAAATAAAGAATTCCTTATCTTTTATGGTGCATTTAGTTTGATGGAATGGTTTAAAGGGATTTGAATTTGAAAGAATTTGGAATGTTGGGATGTTTGTTTTTCAGGATTTGGAATTGAATTGAATTTCACTCTTTATGAATAATTTGTAAAAAGAAATTTGAAATAATTATAAAAATAGTTAAATTATCTTCTTATTAATTGAAAACAAACATTTTTCACAATATTATAAATATTAATATATATACAAATCCCTTGAAATCCAACGACCTTCATGGGATTTCAAAATCTTATGTTTGAGGGATTTTAAATCCAAACAATATTGCAAACCAAATACAACATTGAATTGGATTTAAATTCAAAATCCCCTAAATCCCTGCAAGTGTCCTTTTCTTTTTTGATTTGTAGGATTGTTTTTGAGGAATTTGGGAAAGGATTTGAAATCATTAATGTGTTTGGTTTGTAGGATTTGGAATGAAATCAGATTTCATTATTTATAAATAATTTATAAAAAAATTATAAATAAATATAAGAATAATTGAATTACATTTTTATTGATCCATTATTGCAAAACAAATGTTTTTAAAAAAAATTAAAACCTTATCGTATTCCAAACACTTCCTAAGAAATTCAAAATTCTATATTTTAAGGATTTCAGTTAAATCATAGAATTTCAAATCCGAACAATCTAACGAATCAAACATGAAATTGGAATGAATTTAAAATGTAAATTCTTCTAAACCCATTTCATCATCCCTTCAAACCAAACGAGACCTAAAAGATTTCTCTCTTTGATTTTTTAACAAATTTCATCCACTTTTTTCTTTTGAAATCAGCACATGGTCTTAAACAAAAATCTTGGTTTTCTTTTTGGTTCAATTTTCCAACTGGCCACCACTCTTTTCTATTCATTTTGAAACGCTGTCGAGTTAAATAGAAAGTATTAACATGTTTGTACAAAAGGTTTTGTAACATACAAAATCTAAACCACGCATCATGGGAGACAAATGAGGTACACAACAACCAATTAGATGGCGTCAATGCTCACAAGGAGCTCGATCCCAAATGAGTTGCACCTCCTGCACTACGGCTGTCACACTCGATCAAATCACGGTGAAAACAAAGAATATTACTCGGTAAGAAAGGGAGAAAGACTCTTGCTCGGTTGAACCCATCAAGTAAACGGCTCGTTTGGTTGGTTTTCCATTAAATCATGTACGGATAAAGTTGCATGTGTGGATTAATTTGTCTGTATAGGTCAAGTATTTTTGCTTGAGAAGATTTTTCCATACATGGAAGAAGCGTGTTTTTTTAATTAGGAGGTGAATGTATTGAAAAACTTGGCTTTCTACTTAAAGAAAGTCCTCTAAAAGTTCACCGAATAAGCCACTTTATATATCATTAAGCCACTACCAAACAGTCATGCATAACTACTTGAATAAGGTACGAGTCCCATTAAGCTCATCAACCTGCTAACAGATAGGCCCTAAATGATACTCATTAATCTGCTAACAATCCACTTTGATAGCCAAAAATGTAACCTAATTAGTAAGATCAACGACTTTTACCAGTAAGCTTATACCCGGTAATCCATTTGGCAAACGACCCCTAAATAACAAAACAATGCGTCTAATATCAATCAGCATCGTTAAACTTGGGGGCTGTTTACTAAACGTTTACCCGAAAAGTGCTTACCCCTAAACTTTCCTTACCGGATGAAATGACAAGAGTCAAAAATCTTACCCGGTAAGAACAATGATAAAGATGAAGAGTCTTGCTCGGTAAGTGAGGGTGACGACTCTTACCCGGGTAAGTGCTTAATGGATAAATTGTTGCATACGATACCATTTTGATGTACTACAATCTTACCCGGTAATATAAATTATAGTGTTGACTCCTTACGGTAAGCGCTAACCTGGTAAGCATTTAGGTAAACGGCCCCTTAGTAAAGAAAGAACATAAACGAAAAACCGAAAAGGGGCTACTCTCTTTTCATTCTTGTGTTCATAAATGAGGGTATCTTTAACAAAATTTTCATCTACAAAAGTTCATCACAAATCAAAAGACTCCAATTACCCAATGAGGCATGGATGCTCACCTTCCACAATATGCAGTTCTTGAGGGATTTTGCATAAAACCTCAGGCTTCAACTTTTAGAAACCAATTGTACATATTTTCCATTAACAGTAAACTTGGAGCTCGAATTAATCTGCACAAATATAATATTTCCGTTAAAGACATCATGAGCATGGTAAAAAATGAGGGTTGTTTTAAATTTTAACCAACCTTATGCTCGAGTGTATCAACAAGTTGGTTCTCGTCTATTTTTGAGCCAGATTCTGTAAGAGTCTTCAGAACTTGAGCCCGTAGTTTTCTCATCTTCAGAATGCCATCGGGATTCTACCACGTACACAAAAATATAAAACTTTAAAAAAAACCAAAGAGAACAACGACGATATATGTAATCAGAATGAGCACAGACAGACATTGGCCTTGGACCATCTCCAATGGGGTCACGAAATCTTACACCAAATTACTCCAACAGGCACAATAAAATTAACACCAAATTTGGTGGTGTAGTAAATAATAACACACCATTGTTCTTTTGAAGTATATAGTACTTGTATACAACTATACAACAAATACTCGTGCACGCACTTCACATTTGGTGTGATTTGAATCGTGGTCCTCCAGTGAGGCTAGGCTCTACGGGTGACTCGGATACTACTGGCCAATGACCCTTTGGTAACTATTGTTTGAACAATTTTTTACAATTTTTCACAATTACAAATTTGGTCCCTCAATTTTGAGATTTAAGTATTTTTATTTTATTTTACGGAAATAGTGTAAGATTTCGTGTTACCCATTAGAGATGCCCTTTCAAAGACGGTCAGTATATGAAAATAGTTTAATAGACGTACCGAATTCAAGACTGCGGTTATTATCTTCTTCCATTTTATTCTCTTCTGGCCGTCTTCTTCTTTCCGTTTGGCTTTCTTGGGTTTCTCTGATTCAGTATTTGCATCCTGAATCACTTCCCCGTTGCCCAATTCACCGGCCGCATTGCCTCCAGGAGTATGGCTAGCACCATTGTTTTCAGATGATTCAAGCTTTCTCTTCTTGTTTTCAGATGTAAGTGTTTCCTTAACATCCTCTGAATCATTCTTTTGTATGTTTTCAGATTTACCTTCGGTATTAGGTGTCGGTTCCTCTGACACCTTGGGTGGTTGCTGCGAAGCATGGAATGCTCGTGCTTTTGCTCTGTGTTTCTTCCCATCGGCATGGAGAAGCAGGGTTTGCTTACTAGTAGCACTGGTATTACAGAGACTGCATGTAGATCAAAGATCCCGTAAGCATATGGTTCCCAGAAAAAAAAAAATTAATCCGAACAAAATGATCAGGACAATTGGTAAAATATTCTTACAAGGGTATTTCCTAAAATCCTTTATAGTTTTTAGCTAGTGATTAATCAAATAAATTGAAAACAGACTTTGTAGACAAACCTGCAGAACCATGGAGGACGTTCTGATAATCCAACATTTATGTCAACCTCTGGTTTCGGCTTTGAGGAACTGTTAGGTTTTCCAGGTGTAGAAGGTTTAGCTTGGCCTTTTGGACCATACTTTTCCTGAATATAAAACAATGAAAATCACTAAGTCCATTCAAGTGCATAATGCTCAAACTACAATGACGCCAAACAAGGTCACAAGTGAATCAGATCCTGGTTTGTTTGCAATAAATGGATGGTGAACAAAATACTTGTCAATTCACCATGGCCCTAAGAGTAGCAGTAACAAGCCAACAATCATAATTTTTCTTAACGTTATTTACATTTTCCCTTCTCATCAACCTTCCTTTCTAAGTCTCATCTTGATACTTCAACCAAACACAAATAGAAGATAACAAGAAGCAGTCAAAGACCTTCCAGCCTAGTGGTAAAGGCTTGGGCATGGCATAGTCATGAACCCGAGTTCGAGCCCTGGGAGGGGAGTGTTGGCGACATTTAAGTGGGGCCATGTTTAGCCTCCAAATTTGCCAGGGATTAGTCGGGCTTTGGCCCGGACACCCTTAAAAAAAAAGATAACAAGAAGCACAGACTTCAATGCATGCATGGCAAGCTAAATTCCCAACATCAAGACTACTTTTCAACCAGAAGCAGAAAGGGAAGTCCCATATAATGGTCATCAAACCAGCTATTATTAGCACATTAAATGTTGGGCCAGCAAAAGACAACATATGCAGAAGATAAGTGCAGCATAATTGCAAACGTTGAGATGACTGTGAGGCCACTCAATGAGGGATACAATATGAAAGGAAGATCGCATTGAGGAGATGATGGGTGAAACAACACAAGATGGTTTGCTCATCTGCAACATATAATTAAAACAATTTTAGAAAAAATCGTACCAAGAGCTATTAGGAGATGTAGAGGTCAGCCATGATTGAATGGGGAAAAGTAAAGGGAAGGAAATCTGGGCACGAAAGAAGTTGTCCTTATATAAGAGTGCATGAATGGACATCATTTGTGTTCTACATTCTAGGAGGATTAGCTTATGTTTTCTATTGAGTTCTGCCACTCTCTTAATTATTTTGGGCTTATCATAGCCTAACTCAACTACTTTGGAATATAAGACTTGTTAAGCATGATATTTATGAATAACAGTGTTATACAAATTTGGTGCTCATAGACCATGCATATCCTTAGCTGAAATCAAAATTATAATTGCGTTAGTTTCAATAGCAGTTACCAGCAACGGCATGTTAACAGTTATCATTAAAACATTTGTCTTTCCTGGTAACTAAAGAGACCCACACAAACAACTTCACAAAATTTGGAAACCAGGGAAAAAGTAACAAAGCTGGCTTGTTTTAAAGGGTGGAAACGAGATTAGACCAACCGTCTCTTTAAATCTATTTGACCTAAAACATTTGATATCAACAATTTTTCAGTTTACAAGTAGTTCTAACTACAGACTATGTGATACTACTCAAATGAGCTCAAGTGAAGCACAACACTCTATTGCAGTTAGTCGGAAGGTCCAAATCACAAGTAAGCTTAAACAAAGGGTCAATATACCATTTTAAAGCTCAAACCAATGATCTAGCCAAGTCGGCGATGAACCACTGATTCGAAAGGTCCGCTTATTCGTCCTATAGCATCGCTAGTCCCTACATTAAATGCACTCTTCACGCCATCCACAAATCATCCCCTAATCTCAATTCAAAAAGGAGTCCACTCAACTAAAACCGATAGAGAGACATCTTGTGCACTTTTTCAGCTTACATGTACACTGTTCCTCGCTTTAAACAATTCAATTACCAATCCCATGGAAACCTCAATAATCCTATAAAATAAACAAAATCCAAAAATAAAAATGTAAGGCAGAATCGCACCGTTTCCGTGATGCATTGTGTGTGTCCTTGAACACTCTGTTGCCCAAACATCTGCCCGCAATCGATGCATGACAGCTACACGAACACAGAATCGATCAAACAGACATTCAAAACAACAATAACAACTCCAAAATCCTTAATCTCGAATAAAAAACGATTGAATCTGAACCTTGTTAGCAGAGCAAACTCTAAAGTGATTAGCAAGCTTTGGTTTCTTGAGATTATCACCACAATCCTCGCATTGAAACCAAACCATGGCTGCTCCTCGCTGATAATCCAAGTTCGATGAGAGAGAGAGAGAAACAGGTGTTAGGGCTCGAAAGATCAAACGGAAAAGGTTTAAGGCGCTTTAGGGTTTTTGGACTTGTTTTTTGGGCCTTTTTTTTACAAAAAGCCCATAATGGAGGCCCATCTTCGTTCATTTTTCTTAATTAAAAATGCACAAAAAGCCCGTTACTTGAATATGGTTCGACCCAAGGACCCGTCCTTCAAGAACGGGTCCACCTTTTTCGAGTCATAACCGGTTACGGACAGGTGTGTTTAAACCTTGGCTAACCGGTCCTTCAAGAATGGGTCCACCTTTTTCGAGTCATAACCTGTTACGGACAGGTACGTTTAAACCCTAGCAAACCCATTTGGTTCAGAACCGAATTGGGACTGGTCAATGTCTCTTATGGTACATATGGTACATTAAATCTAATATGACAAGAAATAACATAACAGAAGAAGGATCATTGTTCCACGTTTGACATAACTTCTATGTGGAACATATAAGAACAAATGGAACAAGGTGGAACAGACTTATATTTTACCAATATACCCTCAAAATATACCATTATCCTATTCTAAAATATCAAATATGTATATGTTTACATCTTGTCCATTCTTTAGATTTTATTTTATTGCACTGTATCTTTCTTTAAACTTGCACTCTATCTTTCTCACAATGTTGTTTTTATATGTTTTCTATATATTGGTTAATTTATGTAACTTATTAAATATTAATAACAAAAAATAATACATAAGGATATAAAAATAAAAACTGGAAATTGATAAACTTCATATTTTTGTGTCATTTTATTTGTTTTGACGAAAACTTTTTAATAATATATTTTGTTATAAAAATATTCATTTTTATTGATATTTAATAAATTACATAAATTAACCAAAATATAGA